CCCCAAAACCCCAAAACCCCAAAACCCCAAAACCCCAAAACCCCAAAACCCCAAAACCCCTAGTCAGAATATAAATGTTGAATAAAGGAAATTTTTGAAACTATTTAGGCTAAGTCTTCTTGGATCGAATAGTATTACCTGATATTTTATTCCAATTACTTCTATGCGTAGATTAGCAAGAGTAAGGAAAACTCTTACCTGGACAGCAGGATCATCTCGAGATTCATTTCTATGCTCTTGACTTTCTCCTTGGGATTCTTCAGGAATTTCGGAAAGTTGGGTCTGCTATATTTTTAGGTGAATGTCACTTACGTCATTTACTGCAGTACTAGTCATAGCCTCGCTTCTATCAGCGACTTGTTGGTTTGTATCTCCTTCACTTTGAGTTCTTGGCTGTACAATAATTGGAGGTATGGATATATTAGAAGGAATAGGTCTCATTTGGATACTTCTGATAATTGAATTGCCCAAACTTTGATGAGCATTATCATAAGAACCAATAATCTCTGAAAATATTTCATCGATTCCTTGTCTAGCTGCTCTATTTCCTCTCCTACTCTGAGGACGCGTCTGTCTGCTCCTTCTGTAGCTTTCTAACAATGCTGAATTTGCTCCCCCAATTCTTCGTACTTCTAAAAATTTAGTTTATTAAACAGAAAAATCTAACAATTTAGAAATAATTTATTTGCATAGACATTACCTGAGTCTCCTGGCCTATTTCTTGGTGGAACATTAGTCCTATTAGGAACTTGTGCTTCCTCCTCTTCTTTTTCTTCGTCATTAGAAGATTGATTCGGTTGTTCTCCGGAAGGTTCAGGTCGTGCTTGATCGTTGCCAGACTGTATTTGTTCATTATCTTCAGCATTATTTTCTTGTCTATTATTTCTTGGTGACTCATTTCCTCCTTCAACTACATTTCCATAGACTCTTTCATCTGGGCCTTCATGTCTTGTATATTTTGGGATATCATTCCTTGAGGTATAGAAACCATGAGGAGCTATTCTATCAGAGTCAGCTGGGATGTACTCATCATAGCATCTACTCCATCCTTCATAATGAACGAAGTAGAGATCTTCTCAGTTGTATCTGCTTTTGAGAATCCTTTCAATACTTCCTTTGCACCAAATGTATTCAGTATCACGAACATCGATCTTTTCTCCAATAGAGATATTAACCAATCGGTGGGAATTTTTCCATTCTAAGTATTGTGTCCTTCTATTTTGCCAATTTTTGAGATCTTCTTTCAAGCTGTCAAAATCAGGTGATCCTCTTATGAGAATATTTTCAACTGCAAAGTCAATAAGGTTGCACTCAGTATTCTTATCTTCTCTGACTCTCTCTTTACAAATAGGACAGAACTTTTCACGAAGGAACCAGAAGGAGATTCATTGATCACAGAAGCAATGGCCTCATTGTAATTTCTTTGCACCAACCATGTAATCCATTCAAATAGTGCAGGTGAAATCTTTTAGGCTTGATTCAAGCTCTTCTTTGTTTCTGAGATTTTTCGCTCTCTTTCTTCCGCATAGTTTATTACTCTCTTGCCTGGACTTATGTTTTTCTTCCTCAGTAACATCTCCTTTCTTTTCTTCAATTTCATCCTTGCTCTTTGCACTAAGCCCAAGGTCAATGGAAAGAGAGTTAGGTTGTTCGTTGATTAATATTTTCTTGGAATTCTGAGGATCTTGAGCCACTTCTTTCTCTTCTTCCTCTTTCATACTGAAGTCTTCGAGGTTATCTTCATAGTGATTGGAGATCAAGCTCTCCGCCCTCTCCATTAGCTTCTTAGCTCTGAATTTGAACAGTCTCTTTAGTCTTAGATCTATAGTTAAAATTAATTTTAGGAAATTGCCAGAATTTGTGAAGCCATTAAGAAATACATAATTTCGGATGGAAAATTTTGATTGGATATTTACCTTTTTCTTCACCTTGTTCCATTGCTTGGAGGAAAGAATCTTCTGAAATTCTCATGTCCATACCAGGCTGATAGAATCTATTACAGTCTCCTTCTGTATCTAAAACATTTTGCATTTCTTCAAACTTGAGTTTTCTCTTGACAAAGTCCTTATCTTTTTGGTCAATTGCTGATTCCCTGTGAGTATCATTTTCACTCTCAGGAGCACTAGGTTTTCTATCGAATTATAAATCCTGATTGACTTACTTGATCCCGCTCTTGATCCCATTGCTAATTTCTTTCAATTTTTTAAACTAAAATTTGTTAGCAATTGCAAGAAGATTGTTCAGAATTTTTTTGCATTTCATCAGAAATGTCTGAAAGTTTCGAAAAACATGGGAAAACTATGTCTCTCTTCAACTAAGCCCAGGAATAATCTTTTACTGTAACCCAGGCAGAGCTTCAGCCAGCCTTAGGGGCAAATCATGTTTCCAAATTGAACTCTGTTACTTACCATGAACATGATTTGTTTTGGACTATTTTTATGAGGAAATTTAAATTCTTGTTTTACTATATATTAATATTTATCCTCTTTCGTAAGGTGCTGCCCTGAGTGAGAAATCTGGGCTTTGATTTTTGGATGATCGAAGGTCCTACACTTACTTCAACGAAACGAAATATTAGCCTTTGCTATTATTTATTATAAAATAATTCAATTAGTTTTGAATATGAAGGGGTTTTGGGGTTTTGGGGTTTTGGGGTTTTGGGGTTTTGGGGTTTTGGGG